ATGCTATATTTAATGCAGTCCAGTTTGCAGTCATCTCATCAAGAAACTTTAATTATGCATAATACAAAAAAATTTCTTCTTGAGCATTAAAAGAAAGCTTATTTCTGGGTGTATTTTGGGGAAGATTTGAGCTTGTTCTTAAATTGTACAACTTCTTAGACTATTTTCTGGAAGTCTACATTTTTAGTGTATAAAATTTGGAAGTGTCATTAGTGAAAGAGCAGTGTAGTGGACTATTATCCTGTTTGCAGCATATTCCCATCTTCTCATCTGGAAAATTAAATCTGATTACAGCTTGGATTAACATTTATGGTTGTGGGAAGAGGAAGATGGTATCTCAAACTCCATGAAATTGAACAATGAGATTATATGGTTTATATCTAATGTTAAAGTTCTGCTTCTTAAAGGGCAGATTTTGTAATTGTAAGCTTTAAATATGTTCAATATTTTGTCTCTTACTGACTGAAATATCCCAGAGACAATGATTGGGTAAATTCAGTGGGCATTAAATGGAATGTTTTCTGCCTTGAGTACCTAACATGTTAAAAGTGAAAGCAATGTAGATTCCAGTGTTAACTGCTGCATTTGCAGTTTCTCTTAAATGTCCTAAAAGAGATCCTCTTATAGAAGATAATGGCGTTTAGTTAGTATGCAGTTGTTATGTGTTTTGTACAAAATGAAATTGGTGTATTTTTTAATAATCAGTTTAAAAATATGTCATGCCTTGACTCTTTAAATGGAGTCATTGATATGACAGAGGGAAACAGGAAAATAATTAGTTAAGAGGGGTTTGTGTGTGTGTGTCTGTGTGTGTGTGTGTGTGTGTGTGTGTGTACGTGTGTGTACACATATGAGTTACCAATGTACAAATGAGCCCTCATACATAACCACAGTACTTTTATGAATTATTTTGCATTTCTGTTGTAAAAGATCTGTCTACCACGTTTTCTAGGAACTTTAAGCCTAAGGCAGAACTCAGGGTTTTGGAGCCTGTGTAAAATAATTTATAGCACCTTTCCAGTAAGTCTTGCCCACACTCTTATTCTATTAATTAAACATTCTGTGGTAGTCTGGTATATCTTAAAGATTTAAAAGTATGTATAGTAGAAGACTAGAAAACAGACTATTGAGATGGGGGGAAAATTGCCTTTCTTAAAAGAAAAAAAAATTAGACAATGTTTGTTTGGTAGATCAGTTTTTTTCCTGCTGTGAAGACAGCGTTTTAAGCATGGTCATGTCCTGTGCCTGAGTGAGATTGTGGTTTTGGGAGTTCTATACTATGAAATGTCTATGTTTAAATATGGAAATGCTTCTTGTGGCCTTCAGTGGAAGCGATGCACATGTTTCTGTGGGGACAGCCTGTTTTATGGCCATGGTGCTGGGACATCACATCGACATGATAGGAAACCTTGTCTGAGAGCCACCTGCCTCTTTGGTTAAGAGATGCATGGACTCTGTCAGAGTGCACATTGGTGTACAAGACATTTTAAATACAATATTTGTTGTAAGCTATTTTAAATACAATATTTTGTTGTATTGTTGGCAAGATATTTTAAATACAATGTTTTTTTCCTGTTGAAAAGTCTTTTCCTGGGAGTTGATGACATTTTTAAGTTTGTAAGTATCTGTTGCTTAAACCAGGAGAAAGTTGTTAAGAGAAAAGGATAAGGAAAGAAGGGTGTGCTGTGTACCACTAGATTCTTAATTTTCTGTCAATGGGACAATTGATGAGGAAAAAGCTCGACATATGCTGGTAACTGTATTCTTACTGCCAGTTGCCTAATCAAATTATGTTACTTTCTTCCCTGGTAGTATGCTTCCCTGCAGATTTTTGTGTTAAAAGTTAGCTGTTTGGTGACATTGCATTTGATGGTAAACTTATGAATATAAGAAGGTGTTTTGGAACATTAGCAATTATAGATTGAATGGTGGATAAATAGATATATAAATATTAGACCGATGCACAGTTTTCCAGTGTATGTTATTTTCCATATAAAGATATAGAACATTTCATAAAATATTCCCAGACCATTTAAAACTCAAAGAAATGCAGCTGACGCAATGAAATACATAGAGTACTTGTAAAAACATACAGACACGCAAGTGGATTGCTGCCAGACAGAAAATTTAAAGGCGGTTTGCTTAACTGCAGGGTGCTAGGTTTTGTACATGTGCCATGCTGAAACTGTTAGTAAGGCGGGTGTTGTGTTGCTTGAGAAAAGCAGATTGTATTTGGGCCTTTTTAACTCAGATGTTTCCAATGTCGATATTTTGGTGACATTATGGCATTGTGATTGACTCAATGTGAAAAAAGATTTCAGCCTCCGGTGTTAAATAGACATTTTAAGAAAATTCAAATAAATTATTTGCAGTTTTTGTGTTAATCTTTCCAAAATGGCTTTCGTAGTTTTATGAACTATTGGACTGAATCTTTGAGCTAATTGAATGGAACTTTATAGGTTGACTTGGTTTTAAAAAGCTTGCTTTTCTTTCTTTTTAAAAAAGTACTGTATTGTTTTGGTGAGTGTTAAGGACCCGTGAAGTTTGTTTTTTGTAAAAGTTAGGGGCCCTAATGAAACCAAAAGTTGTATGCTTGAATCATTTTAACTAATAATGCATGTATTATCTTGGAATGTTATTCTGTTAAAACCCGACAATCTTATTTTAGAGAGTCTTAGGACAATTGAAGGAATTTAATTGACGGTGTTTATGTTGCCTTCCACTGAGACAGTATGAATGGCCTCCATCTTGGCATTCCATGGTCATCTTATCTTCAGTGTCTTAAGATAGCTTTATTTTTTTCTTTTCATTTTTCCCATGCTTTTTTCCATTCTATGATGTATATATTAATAAAAAATATTTTTAAAATGAGTGTTTTATTATGGTTTCTTATTAATATAGTTGACTGAAAATATTTAAGAACCATCTGCTACCTATGAATAAGAGTGGCATTTCTAAAAATTGAAGAATATACTGCAAATTTTTGTTTCTGACATATAGGCTTTCACAAAATGGTGATAGAAAAGTAGTCTTTGGTTTTATTTTCATGGGTATTTTGTAGTTCCCAAGAAGCGCAAACTAGCAAGAAAGACATGATATTAACAATTGGCATGAGAGTAATTTTTGTATGAAGTTTGGTAGTTGAAGAGTAAGTATTAAACCACATGTCAATTGGAAGAAAAAGAATAAGCCTTAGATGATTTAGTGGCTTCCCCAACCTCTGTTTTATTATTTCCCTCAGTGGCTTAGAGCTGCGTTTATTTTTGGGTCTCTGGACCAAATTTAAGTTATTTATGTATGTTTTAGGAATTATAGCCACTGCCCTCTTTTTTAGGCCCCTTATTCTCCTTTGCTCACCTCCCTTTCCCCTCACTGCACACTGGTAGAGGATTGTTAGGCAACAGGCTGCCCCTTTGTCACCTGCTGGCAAATTCTCCACCGGCCTAGTCCTTTTCCTGCCACACTCTTGGTGCCCACTGGCCTCCTCTCACGAGGGCTGTGTCCTTGGGCAGTTTCAGTCCTTTTGGCCAAAGACAGGTCAAGTGAAGTAGCTGCTGCCTATCAGGGAAGCCCTGAATTGGTACTGTAGGGGCATTTCTCCAGAGTTCTCTAGTTAATCTAGACACATCATTGATTCCTTCCCAGTAGTTGAAGGTGAGGGTGAAGAAAGAAATTGATTCCCAGCTTTTAAGCCAACCAGAAGACACATCAAGAGTTGAAATGACTTGCAGATAGTTTCAACTTTTTTTTCACCATTCATTTTTAGAGCTCTACTTTTGGCATAATGCTTTGAATATTCCTGCTTTTGTTGTTAGTCTTGGGTTTTAGAAAATTATACAAAATGGCTTTAATAACTTGAAAACTGGTATTCCTAGGATCCTAGTAGTTTGTGAATAAGCCCTTAGTTTTTTCCCTTCTTGAATCTTCACTGAATAAATGAACCATAGTTAACTTTTACACAGATTAACTTTCACAGAGATGTAAATTAGTGTTTTAGTGTGGTGGTTAAAGGTAGCCATGGGTAGTATATATTGTGATCACTGTTAGACAGGAGACCCCTCAAATCTATGATTTTCCATAAGCCTTTGAATTGATTCATGATTTCTCAAATAGATACTATTCTGACCTCTGATCATTTCCCTTAACATGTCTCTGAGGAATCATATCTTTTCCTTATTACAAATGATTGAATGTTTTTCTAATCGATAATAAATGGAATGCTAATAGCTTTTCATTTGTTCACTTCTGTATTGACTTACAGAAGATGACATTGGATCATTTTGCTTATGATTTAAGAATGAAGTGATCCCTTTGGTAACTCTATTTTAAATAGGTGGTCATAAAAGATATTTTCCCCCATGTGTTTTCTTTTTATAGTTTCTGAGCAAGTTTAATTATGTCAGCTGGAACATAATTTTTCATGATATTTTGTTTACACTGACAAGCTGAAAGCATTAGTTTTGAAGAAAATTTCATCTAGTTTTATCTGCATTTCATAACAGTGTATAAGCATTTTGAGAAGGATATATTTCATTTTTTAAAGTGATGAGGTTTGCATTTATTCCTTGAAAGAATTCTCTCACTCTCCCTTTTTCCCCAATCTGAAACCAGTGCTTAAGGTGGTTTATCAAGCCCACATCTCTAACTATGCAAAGGAGGCTTCTGATTAGAGAAGAAAAGTCAAGCAGGTTTAAGACTCATTTTCTCTGGAAAAATATATTGAGGGCAATTTGCAGCTGGCAAGATTTCTACATTAGGTAATAGTCTAAAGTTAACAGTAGCATCAGGTCTTTAAAATTTTTCTTTTTTATATTTCTGGAGGAGGGTAATGGGAGTGCCTTGCTGAGTCCTTCCTTGTGCTCATCAACATAGCAGCCTCAGCTGCCCCCCTTGGATCCCCTGCCAGGGCTGCTATCATCTTCTGATCAAATATTAATGTGTGATCCTCTGCTTGCTCACTAATCCAAAGCCAATTAATATTATCTGTCAATTATTTACAGATCCTGAGGTGCAGAGGCAATTCCCGGAGGACTACAGTGACCAGGTTCGGAATGCGTAATTAATTTTTTACATGACAAAATTTATTTCAGAGTTGTTCAACATATTATTACTGTTCTTTTTACCGAAAGAGATAAATGAATTTTTAGAAGGGAAGAAAAGCAGTAATTAGGAACCAAAGACAAAAAGTAAAACATTGAAGTAGGACTGAAAATATTGCTGCTAGATTTGGGGTGTTTACCTTCAGGGAGAAAATGTACATAAAACAAAGAAGAAAACCTGCCACAAATTTTACTTTTTACTTTGAGGAATGCTACAGTCTGTACTTCTTTAGGAAATCCTTTTTGGATTGCCTGTGAACTTTTAAAAAAAAAATGCTATTTCAGGAGTCAAGAAGCAGTATAACAAAAAACGGGGAGGAGGGAAGTTTATAACATTGCCTGGAATTTGAAATAGATGATGAAATTAAGTGTTACGGTCGTACTAGAAGGAGAAACTGCACATGCAGAAATGGACTTCAGGGTGAGGGTGGTGCTGATGATGGTAGTGAGTTAAGGTTGGCCAGTTGGCTCTACCATCTTGAATTGACAGCATTCTGCAAGCATACCATGGGGAACGATTTTACTCACAAGATAATGCTGAAGTTCTGATGTTGCTGTATACTTTATAATTAGTTCTAGGTTATACATTCAGGATTCTAGTTTCTATCTTGAGAAATATTGGAGATGTTTTGTAGCTTTTTTAGGGCACCTTACATTTTTAGTTCAAATATGCAATTTGGTATACTTTTTAAAGCAGTTTTGAAATAAAAGCATTCTTGATTACACCGAATAAGACAACTTTATAAAACCTTTCACATGTGAAATATACAGTAAAAGCATGTTGCTTAGGTACTTCTATTTAATTTTTTTTTTTTTTTAATTAAACATCTTTGAATGAGGATAAGTACAACAGACTAGAAATACCCAATGCAGTGGTAGTAACACCTTTGTCTTGTATAGAGAGCCAGGTATCTGATACATCTTTATGAATAAAGGGGACATAATGTGACTAGGAATAGAACTGGATAATCAGTATAATGAGATGCTTTGTAATGAGGTCTTATAGTACAAGAACCCAAGAGAACTGGTATGGTTTGCTTTGTGTTTGATCTCAAGACTTTTAAATAAGATTTTAAAAAATATTAAAATCTTCTGACTTTGTCTCTTGCTTCATCTTCTACCAGGACAGTTAAATTTTTATTTTATCTTAAATTTCTATGAGATTGGGCTCTTTAGATTTAAACTACACAATCCAAAGATTATAGGACATTTTCATTAGTGAATTTCCTGTCTTTAAATTTCCTTTCTTTAAACAGTATATAAAGGCTGGAAAATCTTTAAGTATTATTTAGAATACACTTAAGTCCATAGATTTTAACAAAATTATTGTTCTAAAATCTTGTGTATAGGTAAATAACCTTTGTAGTCCCATGATCTGAATTACTCAGTGAGAGGGAATTTTATAGGAGAAAACTTAAAATAGCATAGTTACCATCTGGGTCTATTCCTTTCAGCATAGTTTCTTACTATATCTGAAAGTTTTTGAACAACATGATTTCTTTTTTAGTATAACTTTAAAAAACTGCATGGGTAATATGTTCATGACAAAACATGTAGAAACTAGATAAAGCAAAAATAAAGCAAAAAAAAAAAAAAAGAAAAGAAAATACAAATCATTAGTTATTTTACCACACAGGGGTAACCGCTGTAACAATTTGGTATTTATCTTTCCATGTTTATTTCCTTGAGTACACATATAAGTTTGTGTGTTTGAGGAGAGTATATATGTGTGTATATGCATACATGTACTATTCATGCATATGTGTGTACTGAGAGAAATATAGGCTATTATCAATTCCATCATTGTATACGGAGCTCAGTTGACTGATTAGATATTATGTTATGAATGTAGTTGTCTTTGCTTTAGATGGTGTTACAAGTATTTCATAGATTGAAGTTGGAATAATTAGAATTATAGTAGGAACCTAAAAAATAATGATAGCTTTAGGTATTTTAAAGGTGCACATAGTATAGTAGTATTTGTTTTCTTTGTTTAGATCAGTGACATCATTTTGAAATTTGAAGAATGGTCCTCATGGATCAGAGATAGACTTATAAGAGTGCACACATCTTGGCCTCATTTAGCAGAGATTTATTTATCTTTTCCAACTTGACACATATGATTTTGTTTTTTTGCCTTCTATAACCCAAGAAATGATTAATGAAGGATCTACTTTGTTTTGGAGACATTACCTCCAAATTCCCAGAAATTTATTTGAGAGTTATATTTACTGGGAAAGAGAGTGAGAACTGCATGTTTTTTAATTTATGTTTTTATCATTGAGTTTCTAATGTTTGTTTTTTCTTTTTCACATTTGTTAAATTATCTTTTCCCACAGTATAACTATTATAAAGGAATTCTTAGAAATATTTCTATTATATACAAACCTTAAATGCTGAATATGCACTTAATCTAGACAACATTTCTAGTATTAAAACATTTATGATGTAATCCTTAAGGGATATTTGAGATAATTCACCACAAAGTATAGCGCTTATTACCCCCCCCCCCACACACACACACACTCTCTCTCTCTCTCTCTCTCTCACTCACTCACTCACTCTCACTCTCACTCTCTCTTACTCCCCCCACCCAGTTTTTCTTCTCATTCGCTTAAACTACCAGTGCTTGTTTTTACATATAGTGTATTTCCCATGTACCAGCACATTGATCAGAGACGCTTGCTGCTGCTAGATGTTTTATTCTGTGTGTTCTTTGTACCTTACAGTAAAAGAATCTGTCACAAATTATTGTGGCTCACTGCTTTAGAAACTGAGAAAAAAGGGAGGTTAGATTGACATCTGTGACTGAATAATGATGACCAGCCTTTTGGCTCTCCTTGAGCCACAAAGCTAGCACTGCCTTTAGAGTGGAAAAAGAAGTAAGAAGAAAGGGGAGGGATAAAAGAGAGTTACAAATCTGTGGTCCCGGAGATGTATTACTGTTGGGCCAGTTGTCTGCGTAGTATGATAATCCATTTTGATCTTCTCTGTCTTAATTGTCTGCTAAAGACAAATGGGCAGTAAAAGTTCATCAGTTTCATCTTTTTGCTTCTCGTTTAGAAGCAGAATAAATGATCCATCACTACAGAAGAAGCCTTTCTTTCTGTCACGGAAGTAATGCAGACCCAACACGTTTTATTAAAATGTTTTCCCCTCATTATTTCAGTCCTCTCAGCTCTGATAGATCTTACCGTTTCATAAAAAATGTAATCTGAAATGTAAATAAGGGTCTTGATACAGAAGGAAGAAGTAATGAGCAGCCTGATTGTAATTACTGACAAAGTGATTTCTCTGTGCCCCATTTTTTTTTCCTCCTTAAGTTGTCTGTGACACCCTCAGACCACAATGACATCTATGGTTTAAAACCATTAAATCACTGTAGCACTCAATATTTCATTTAAAATCTGGTAAGCCTGCTATCTTTAAACCTGGAAATACAGGCTTTGTTAATTCCTGAAAGACATGCATTGCCTGTATTTTTTGAAAGAAAAAAAAAAGCAAGGCAAAATCGGGGTTTTTTCAGAGTTCATATTATTTATTCATCTGCTTTTGTTTAATGCTTAGCTAGTTTAAATACTAAAACGTCACCATTGGTAGGATCCTGAGTTGAAAATAATTCTGTATTTAAAAAAATAATTAATAACAGCTTATGAAATTTTCTTAAATTGTGTCTCCCTTAACTATAATATAAAGTAGTCTAGAATTTCTTTTTAGGGTTAAGATTACTAAATTACAGATGTAATTTTTTAGTTACTTTGGGTTTGTGTAGCTTAGACTAGATGCTTTTCAGTCTCTTACTATAACTTTAGGTAATGTGGCTCTTAATAAAAGCCAATTGGAAAATTTTGTTAAAGGACTGAAGCACAACAATAATGTATTTCTTTCATTTCTAGAAATTGTTTTTTCAAATATATCAACATATCAATCAGACATTAAAAATAAGATAAAAAACGAATATCTTTCCCTACTGAAAATAGCCTGGTAGTTAATTAAGTGGGTTTATAATTATTCTATTATGTTTACTGTCTTCATAATTATGGAAATAATTGGTAAAACTTTACTTATTGTGATTAGTTCAGTTTTAATTAATACTAATTTAATTAAAGGAGAAAAGAATAGTTAAATTAACATGTTAGCAAATTATTGTCACCATTCTCATCAAAATCCCATCTTTGGTCTCAAAACATTATATGATTTTTTTTTTTTTTTTCGGAATAAAAAACATGAGCCTTTAGTAATTATAATGTTTAGTATGGGGTGGTTTGAAATTAGAGAGACTAGCCTATTGGAGAGATTTCCGTAAATAGTCTTGTAATGTATCAAGTATAGTAGATATTACACTTACCATTTTGAAATGTATTTGTTGTAATATGATTACTTCTTATACTAAAACATGTAGAGTTAATAATTTGCCCTCACAATTGTACTTTCAGAGCCTGTTTTTACTAAGAGTGGCAATTAGAGTTGAGTGTGCTAAAAGTTACTTCTCCAATGTGCTCATCCACACTTTGATGGAATACAGTGAGCCTCTTAGAGCTCTTTAAAAAGTGATCCAGGCACAGTTACCCACCTCTGTGTATGTAGATTGCTGTTTAGAGTTGCAGGTAATTTTTCTTTCCACTGGTGCGGAAACAGAGTGTTATAGTGAAACCAACAATCTTTATGCATTTATAGAAACTATAAAAATTTTATGGAAATCTTTATATAGAAACTAACAGTGTTTCTTGTACAAGCTCTATAAGCAAAGTAGAAACATGGCACGTTGGGAAAAATTAAAAGCTGCCCTTTCTCTTAAGGTTTTATATTGCCTGTGTGATTTCAAAATTTCACTATAGGCAGTTAAACAAATTATAAAAACATATACCAACTATATACTAAAAAGGAACAAAAATATGTTGCATAACTCAGGCTAATTGTGATGGAAATTGGCATTTCTGAGTTG